TCCCCTGCCTCTGGCAGCTTTTGCCACCAGAGAGCATGAGAGCATGATGACATCATTCTTTCGTCTGGCAGAAAAACATTTTTTTTATATAGCGAGAGATAATTCTCTATGGTTATTTTTCAAACATGGGTGCTTACAGTGTGGTTCTCATATCCTTATTTAGTTACCTAAGTAAGTGGTATGGCTTTCTTTCTATCTTTCTTGACTACAGCGTGTGATCTAAAGGCTATGGTACAAGCCTAGGAGTCAGATAGGAGTCTTCTTGAACAAACACAGCATGAGCTTATGCAAGTCACTCAATTTCTCAGCCTCTATTTCCTTATTTCTAAAATGAGTGTTTTATGAGGGTCCATCAATCAGTATACAGCTCTTTGAGGTTCTCTGATGGAAGACACAGTAGAAAGGCAAATATTATAATCAATCTCCTAAATATTTATTATTATAATCACAACTTCACGTTTTGTGCAGATATAAAATGAAGCACTCAAGATTTTGCTTCTAGAACCTGACAAAACTTTTTTTAAAAAAGGCTTATTTGTCTAAAATGAATTAAACTAGTTTTACCAGCATAATAGCTTTTCTGTTCTAAGGAGAAATACCGTTTCCATTCTTATGCTAAATTGCTACAGTTTGCCACTTGTTAATGAAGAATGTTTATGTCTTGAGAAATTATTTGAGCAATCTGACTGGCTACTGCACCAGGCTTCTATTCTTCAGAATACTGTGAATCTACAAATTGAAACTACATCACTCTTAAAAAATATTTCTAGACATTAGTTGCACCTTAAAGTCAGAGTCTCAAAAGTCAAAGGCCACATAAAGTAAATCAGAGCAGGGCATAGAGTTCCAGTGCCTTGACCATGCTGTGCAAGATAAATTTGCAGCCTACTAACACCCGAGTATGAGACATTTCCTGTTGGTTAATTTTGGTTGTATTTAATGACCATAGGCCTTGTTCCGGCCATTAACTTTTTCTACCTGGGTGTGAAAGATAACTGGTTAACTTGGTGCTGTTAATGAGAAACCTCTTTGTTCTAATGTAGAAGAGAACAGAATTAGGAGACATCATAGAAAATGGATTGTGAACCATGCAGAAAGTTCTTTGCAGCTGCTGTTAGTCCCTCTGCAGCTGGGGATTCAGTTCCATGCAGCCCTAGAACAGAAGCGGGAAGTAGTTGAAAATCTACACGAGGAGGGTGTATTTCTCTCAGTGCAGTAGAAGTATGAGGTAGACCACAGCATAATTTGTTTCCAATCTAAGCAGAAATAATTGCCATTCTGTGACTTTTCCACAGCAAATCTGCCATGCTGTCAGTCTAGTCTCCGGCTTCTACCTTAGATACGTGATCAAGCGGCCAGGGTTAGCCGTTGAATTGTATCAGGACACTTTTTCTCTTCTTCCTGTTAGGGGAAATTATTTCGCTGTTTCATTTCTTTGAAAAGCCTTCTAGATTTTTTTACCATTTTAGGAAACAGTGTGGTTCAAGGAAAAAACTGATTGTTAAAAATCACTTGCTTTTTGTTTTGTTGTGTTACCACTAGATGGCAAGCTAATATCATTTTTGTTTGTTTAAAAAATCATTAGAGTGAGTCTCTGTCATATAAAGGCTAAAAGGGCACAAGTTGGATATTAGAATTGCGGATTCATAAAGAGAATCACAGTTGCACATAAGGCTGCAAGCGTATCATAGAGGTCATGGAATTGACTTCCCTGGACCTCCCTGACTGCTGTAGCTAGTGGGTACCCAGTCTTCTTCAGCACTACCAGGTACCCCGGAGACCCTCCTAGTGCCAGTGGGCCCCTCAAAACTCTCCTGAACCAGCAGGTGCCCCAGAGCCTCCCAGAACACCAAAGATTTAGTTAGGGATATATAGTACAAGGCATGGATGGGTCACAGGGCCATGAATCTTTGTTTATTTCCCATGACTTGTCCTTGAGACTGTTACTAAAAATGCCAAGGAATAAATCTTAGCCTTATGTACAAGCAATTGATTGTGGTTTTTATTTTGCTGGGCAGAAATAGCAAGGAACTCATAGCAAGCTTGATGACAATGAAAGTGTGAAAAGTTAATAGTTAAGAGAAAATGTGGCTGATGATTTGGAAAATGTATATGCATTCTTCATGTGATCTTTGGAAACACAAGTACATATCACTTTTTCCTTATCTGCTTTGTGTGGTCCTGTAATACTTTTACATGCCTTTATCTCCTAAAAAATTCTCATTTCTCCACAGGATGCTTTAATATCTTTCATGCACATAAGCATCACTTGGAATTTCAAAGGTGTTACCCCAGATAGTAACAAGACATTTTAAAATTTGTATAGGTTTCTGCCTTTCCTCTACACAATTGCTCTGTTTGTTGCATGTCATATGAATATATGAGTTGTGGGTATTGGTGAAATACAGGAGCCATCATTTCTTGTATGCATCCAGAGGCCAAATTCAACACAAACTGAAATTCTGGCTCCATTGAAGTCAACAGGAGTTTAACTGTTGACATCAATGTCACTAGAATTTCATTTGCAGTGTATTTTTAAAGACAACCAAATGCCCCTATAGTATGGCAGAGTAGTGCTTGTTTTGTTAGCATCTGTGATTGTATTTCTAGTGCACTTGGCTACAGTGAAGTATCCATGGGCATAGCTGTAAGAATTTGGATACCAGGGCAACTATAATATTAGAGAATTGTATAGAACTACCAACCCAGCAGGGAGCAGAGAGCCTGAGCAACAGCCTGGCTTGGAGTAGAGACTGAGCACAGCAGCCTCACTGGGGAGCTGGCTTTTTTTTTTTGTTTGTTTGTTTGTTTGTTTGTTTGTTTGTTTGTAAATTGAACCATGAATTTGAGAAGAAGGAAAGCCAATCTGTATAAGTAATGCAATTTCTACAGGGACACTGTGTCACCCTAACTACACCAACATAAGTCCTACGCCTCTCGTGGTAGTGGAGTTATGTTATCTGTGTAATAGGGAACACACACCAGCAGGAGCAAGACTGTGGTGTGCATACTGACATAATTATGTCCACCCTTGGCCTTGTCTTCACTATATGGAAGATTGAAGCTGCTGCGATTGATCTTCCGGAGTTTGATTTAGCAACAGTTGCTAAATCAAACTCAGAGGGTGCCCTGATGCTGGCCAGTACTGGTGGCCAGTAAGGGAAGCTAACGGGAATGTTTGTTCTTGTCAGCCTCCCGCTGTGGAGACAGTGGGGAAACACAAAACAAGGCATTAAGGTAGCTGGAGTTGCTTATCTTGATTCAGCGTTCCCTTTTACTATAGACCTAGCCTAAGGCACATTACGCTTCAGTGAAGACCAGGCCTCACTTGGAAAACATTATGTAGTATATAAATAAGTATCTATTTAAGAACTCTAAAGTTACTGGAACAGCTTCCAGACGCAGACCTCCTCAAATGCATCGTTTAGGTGACAGGTCTTGTTTCATGCAATTATTTCTGCATGGACTCACCTGCTCCTTCCATCTTAGACAGGATATCCAGGCTGAAGCCTCCTGTTTCTTAGCCATGTGAGCAGCACAGGCAAAATTCAATTTTTGCACCTGTAAGCTTTTCCCTTTGGGAGCCTCTGATGGAATACATTTGGAGTGACATACAAATAGTGTCTTTGGAACAAAGATTCATTTATTCAGAGTTCAAAGGTGCAAAGGATAAAAAGAACTTACACCATAAGGTTTTCTTGAGATGAGTTAGCTGAGCTGATTGGATCTCTGTAATATTTCTGCAGTATTTCTATAAAGTAGTTAATGTTGCCTTCAGTAAGGAATCAAAGCACCAACTTATAATAATTTAAGAGCTCTCAATTAAATTGATAACTCTTATTTGAAAGTCACTTTACAAAAAACGGAGGTTTCTGGCTCTTCAGTCCTTCAGCGGTTATGACATCCTCAATTACTAGAATATATACTCAAATTTTACACAAGCTTTTTTTTCTGTTTTGCAAACCAAAATGCAGATGAAAAATTCTTACGAGTGTATAAGACTTTTTCAGATTTCCTATTTCTCATGGCACTATAGAGCATCAGGGTGTAAGAACCATGGACTGAAATAAAACGTGAAGTAATCTTTCACCACCTATGTCTCTGTATATCAAAAATTTTCAAAACAGAGCCAAATCTTTAGTTTGTGCAAAGTCTGCATAGCTTTATTGAAGTCAGTGTACCCCAATAACCACCAGCTAAGGAGCTGCACAGCAAAATGCCATCAAAAATCCCCCCCCCTTTTTTTTGGATTCTGAGGGTGAGAGCAATTATAGCGTTGGTGGTGCTTTTTTCATGCATTTGCACAAAAACAGGCTGCTGCGTGACTCTCATGCGGGAACTTGAATGGTAGGTTGGTTGGTTATTAATATGGATTAATAACCTGTTATAATGACAGCTTTGGAGATGTAGGGGGACAGGGAAATTAAGGCTGACAAGAGATGCTCTTTTGTTGTTCTCTTTTATACTCCCGGGAGTTATTTTCCACCCACCCTTGATTACCAGCAGTTTCCTTTTATTTGTTTGACAGGATACATCACAGGTAAGGTTTTCAAGATGAATTGTTTCTGAGAGTGCACATGTTTGGTTTCCCTTCACATTCACACATATTTTTAAAAGTTGCCCATCCTTTGTT